CAGGCTGTAGCAGAAGGAAGCCCTTTGTCCAGCCGTGCTCTCCTCTGCCTGCACCTCCACGGGCCATCCTCCAGCCTGAGTCTCTCTTGGAGGGCTTTGCTGGAATTGGTGACAAATAACCAGCACTCGTCCGTATTCTGAACTATTTTCAAACCTTTCCTCCTACAGTTTTAGTCACAGGCAGCCTACTCCTAACATAGCACAAGCAAGAATCATGCTGAATGCTTCTCTATGCACAGCAGTCATCAGCTTCCCACATCTCTTCCCTCACTGCCTGACCACTGAGAACTCCCCACTGCCAGGTGATGTCATGCTCTGAATTAGAGTAAAACTCAGCCGATGCAAAGAGCCTCAAAACTAATACTGACTTTAGCAAGGCAGGGGGCTGTTTCTTCTGTCCTGTGACAGTCCACAGGGGGGTAGCAGCCGTCCTCTTGAAGCTGGAGGGGCACAGGCTCCTTGTACCTGAGGAACCCATGCTCCCCAGAGCATGGCGTCCACCCCACAGTGTTGAGGCAGACACAGGCAACCGAGCACTGCACTCTCTTCCCCGGTCTGACAGCCTTAGAATCAATTCCCATTCCCGTTACCCAGACTTCTGCTGATAGTAAATGGGCAAAGTCCTGCCATTATTGGCTAGTCTGGCACTCCCTTGCGTCAAACCGCACTCATCTCCTGGGTCTGCTGGTTTCACTGCTAGAAGCAAACAAAGTTGGTGTGTATCGAGGAAATTCCACAGTCCCCCGCAAACGGCCACAGCTTCAAGGATGCTGACGTAACTCACATTGCTGCCTTTTTCCAGTGCATGTATGAATAAAATCAAACTTCTTGCCTTCTCTCCACGTACACTGGGTTATCAGATTTTTCCATTACAGCCATCACTGCTACAAACATTTCAGGACACATCTAGTTTTCATGCGAGTGTCTCCTGTGTGTATGCGTAGGAGTGAAATTGGGCTGTGGGCTAAGTGTGTCTTTATTTCTAATGCAAAGCGACCTCCTATGTGCTGTCCAGGTTCGCTCCCATCCACTGAATAACAGTAATCGTTGCTACTTTTTGCAGCACTTGTTATTGTCAAGACTAAGATTTTGCCAGTGTGGTGAGTGCAACATGGCATCTCATGATGACACTGACACTAATGAGCTGTGCCCATCTTTTATCGCTGCGGGACTATCTCAAGCAGTGGAGGAGCTTTAGCGGGTTTTGTGGCAGAGGCTGGAGTGAAGGCAGGGCATCCTGGATGGCGGGCACAGGTCCAAGTGGACAGAGTAAGCCTCCCCAGGCACCAAGCCCGACTGGGATCCTGACCTCAAGCTCTTCTCCAGCGCCCGGGGCTGAGAGATACCCCCACTCTGGGCCCATGATTTAGGGGGTTGGGACCTCAGTCCAGATGCCCTTGGCCCAGGACCCCCATGTACCAGCTTGGAGGCACGCCTCCCCAGCTCACTCTAGCTCTCCTTCTCGACCAGCCTGTGTCGGCCCGATACTCTAAGACCTGGAAATGTGGATGTGCCCAAGGCAGTGCTACCAGGACCGCATGCCCAGAGCGGGCTGCTCCAGTGGGGGCGGGACCCCCCCAGCTCAGGCGTGCTGTCCTGCAAATCCCGGCACTGGTCGGGTGCTCACGGGTTCCTGAGAGAGCAGCAGATTCCTTCCCAGCCCTCCCCCGACCCCTAGTCACAAAGCCTTCCTGTTCTGTGGCTGTCTCTTCACAGGCTGTCATTTTCATGGCCTCCTAATGCCCCCAGATCCTTTTCAAGGCTCTGCTCCTACCCACTCAATATATACAGTGGCCCCAGCAATCATTCTGCTCCTCCGGACACAGCTAACCGGACAGGTGTTGACACCCAACCCAGGTGTGCCAGAGTCCCTTCCTTAAGCTCTGCACTCTTGGCTGTATTTATCAGTCTCACAGGTTTACGGGTACATGAGTGGACACCTAACCAGAGATCGACCAGAGTCCTCCCCTTAGAATATGAATCAAAACACGAAGTTCTCAGCTTTATTCCGGCAGGTCTCTCAGAAGCAGCAGTTATGGAGTGTAAGTGGTGTGTGTGTGTGTGGGGGGGGGGGCACCATCAGCCCAGTGGAACAGGAAACTGAGAAAACAGGTCTGCAGGGAAACCAGGGTACAATCCAGGGGTGGAAACCCTGAAATCTTCCCAGTTCCTGCTCTGGCTAGCTCCCTGCCTGGGGTTCCATCAGACACCTCAGGATCCTTATAGACAGTGCTTCCCTCTTTGCTTAAGATATCTCACACAGGATTCTGATACTTGCAGCTGCACGCCCTATTGCACACAGCACTCAAGTTCAGTACTGCAGTTTTCTGCTGCCTCATCCTCAGGTACATAGAAAGTGCTGAGTGCACAGTGTTAAAGGGGAAAAGCCACCTCCATCTGCTCAGCCATGCTTCCTGGAGAGTCAGCCTCTGGGAACCTGGGGTCAGAGCCCAAAGACTTCACAGCCTCCCAAGTGCCTCCCACTCTTGCCTGAAAACAGGTGAGAATGGACACCCCCATTAGTGCTTGTACATAAATAAACCCTAAGAACCGGTTGGGGGAATGCAGTGGCAACCACACGCGATAAGTCAGCAGGACTGGCACAGGAACACACACGCACAAGTTAACAGGCACTTATATGCGGAACAACTTTTACAGCAGAAAGACCAGTGCCCCGTCCCTTTCTGACCCACATCTCCAGCTGTGGGTCAAGAGCAAGGCGTGGAGGACAAGGACATTGGTCCGCCTTAGGACACTCGCTGCACTCAAAAGGCTTCTCCCTGTAATATCTTTTCGG